TTTCAGGTTCATATGTGTATGTAGTGTCTCTACTGTGACATGTCTCCATGCTTTAAGGTTCAAAAAGCTCTTTATCTCCCTCGTACTGCCTGTGCTGCAACACCTCTTTTCACCCTCTGTCTGAAACGAGAGCCCAGTGCGCTCTGATTGGTTAGCTGGCCGGCTCTGTTGTGATTGGTCAACCGCTTAGAGATGTCCCGACCCTTAGCCTATCACGTACAATGTGTTGGAGCGCTAGCCAATAGAAACGTGAGTGTTACATAGGGACGTCACTATGTTACTGAAGTAAACAAAGGAGTCCAAGTGAGGCATTTCAGGCAAGGGGGGAGTGTGTGGGAGAGAAACTCCCTCTGGAGGGAACACAGGGACTTTGCAGACCATTTAAATGCACAAAAACCAAAATAACACTCCAGGAAAGAGAAGACCCCAAAAGCATAATAGGGCCTCTTTAAAATGTGTCAGCACTTTGCATGCAGGGTAGAGTTTTCCCTAAATAGTAAAACAGTCCCTATATACTCTTCACTTATCCTTGTGGAATGTCTCAAGGGTGGGGCATCTCCCTGCTCATCTTAAATCAACATTCCTCAACAGCAGCAACAGGAATTTCTAGGGTTCTTATTGTCTTGAGAGTCTTGCACTTGAACTTTGAGCACTTCTGCCCTGAAGCACTGTCTCAAAGTTCAATAGGATAACACTTAGGCTTGAGTTGTCTCGTCAGATAACATACTTTACCCCAAGACCAGGACATCTCAGAGAGCAGTGTGCTTTCTGTCTGTCTGTCTGTCTGAGCTGAATGTGAGTCATTTCTTCTGCAGGTGGGCATGTTTAAGATCCACCCAGAGATCCCAGAGTCTATGTCCCTGGAGGCCAAAGCCTTCATCCTGCGCTGCTTCGAGCCCGACCCGGACCGACGCGCCACGGCCTTCGACCTGCTCACCGACGAGTTCCTCACCGTCACCAGCCGCAGGAGGAAGAACAAGAGCAGCTTACCAGGTGGGCTCAGTTCAGTTCAGCAGCTGAGGAGGTCCTCGTGATGTTTTTCTACTCCGATTTTCTGTTAGCTTTAATAACGTTTAAGTTTCAGGTTTCCTGGTGTCCATAAAAGGTGAACAAATATTGGGCCCTCGTATAGTTCAGTTGGGAGAGCTGACATGTGCCACTAGTCATCCCCTCTGTCTCCCCCTTTAATAGCTTGACTTGAATAAAGACACTGGTTTTATTTAAAGGTGGGGTAGGTACGTTTGAGAAACCGGCTCGAGATACACTTGTTGTTATATTCCATGGAATGCTCTCAACATCCCGATAGCAATGAATATCTGAAGTGCTTTGACAATAAATACATAAAAAAATGTCATCTGTGGAAGCCGTGGCGCTGTAAAAAGCACGACCAATCATCTGAGCCGGCCCGGCTAAAGTAACTGGATGGCCTACCTGCCTGTCAGCCTTCCATCTGTGCACAAACTTATCTCGTGCCCTCATTGGTCATGTGCGCGTTCGTGTGTGTTGGAGGAGGGGCTCTGTAAGGAAGTGGCAGATTTGTTCCGGCTGTGTATTTTCAAATTCTAGCGCACTCAAGCTGCTTTCTCCAAAATGACCCACCCCACCTTTAAGTTATAAGTTGGCAATATCAAATGTAGGTAAATTATGCTTAATACTTGAATATGCTTTAAGAAAACAATGAATACGATTATTCGAAAATGATGAACCATTCATTAGCAGATATGTCAAATGTTAGACTTAACACTGAAATTTTACTACTAACTACTTACTAAACTTATACATAATA